CACGTAAATAAGACACAAATGAATATTAAATTTGTCATAAAAAATATTATTAAATTGTCTAAATTATTAAATTCAAAGAATTATTTATTTTAATAAAAAATTTAAGATAAATTTAAGGATTTATGTTCAAAAAAAAAATTTAAGGATTTAATGTAATATTTTGCCTTTAATTTTCGACAAGTACAAGATTAGGATTATTATATTAGGATAAAAATATTAACATTATTATCGATGGGGCCGGGGGGACACTGAAAACGTGCCTTTGGTTGTGTGCAGAAACGACGGGAGAAAGCCAAGGAAAGAAAGAAACAAAAGAAAAGAAACGTCAGCCATCATCCGTGCCCAACAACAGCGACTTTTGCGCGCGTCCTACGTGTCAGGTTTTTGCCTTCAAAAACCTGTTCCTTTTCTCATTCAACCTTTTCCCACTTGTTGACTTGACTCCCACGATCCCTTCCCACGCGTCCACACCACGCTCCCCTCATCGACTTCCTTGGTTCGCTCTATCTGTCGGGTAGATGCGTTATAATGGGTCCCCACCTAACATCTTTACTCTTCTGCCCCTGCTCTGCTCCGACACTAACGGATTTATTTATTATTATTATTATTTTTTTTTTTAAGGAGATAGGAAATCAACACTAACGGATTCTTTTTTGCTATAAATGTTGCAAAAATACGCTGCCTTCCCTTTTACTAATTGTTGGAAAATCTAATTATATTGTGAAAACAAAAGAATGATAGTTAAAATTAATTTTTATGAGTTACTAGAAAAATAAAAATCAGAAATTTTTAGTATTTAAAATGTTAAAATTTTTAATGAAATTATTTAAATATTTTTAATGAATTTTTTATATATTAATTTATTAAAGTTATTTAAATAATTTTATAAAAAGTCATAGCATTTTAATTGTCAAAACATTATAATTTTCTGTAATCTCATATTTTAAAATTTTTTTCCTAATTTACGATGTATTTATTATATTTTTTATTATTAATTTATGTGAAAAAATATAAAAATTAACTTTATTTTTAACACAAATACTATGTGCAATAATTTAATTAAAAAGTTGATAAAATTTAAGTTAACTTTTTCTTTAAATAAATTAATGATAAAAATATACCATAAATAAACCATTTAGAAAATTTCATTTTAGAACGAGTTTATACTATTTACATCGATTATGCTATGAAATTTATACAAATTAATTTAATTAATGGTTACAATAATTTTGTGTTAAAATTTTTCCATAAAATTTAATTCTAGTAATCATTACTTGTGAAAAATAACTACTCATATTTATTATCTTAAAGAATTAACTCAATAGTTAAAAATTTGAGATTTCAAGATTATAAATTGAACATCTCAAATTCAAATCTTAAAGTAAATAAAGAATGCTTAAAAAAAGAGGAAAGTTATTCTCTATTGTGTAGTCATTACTTAAAAAAATTACTTCTATATACTATATCTTTTATTCATATATACTTTCAACAAATGCAATAAATGTATTAGTTTACAATTAATTTAGATAAAAAAATTGTAAAAATTGAACTTATATTAACACCATTGGCATTTAAATAATTTTAATTATTCAATTAATTAAATTAAAGTTAATATTTATGTTTTTCATACAAATTAATTATAAAAAATACAATAAATATACCATTTTAAAAAAAAAGAGGTACTCCTATCTTTTTTTCCCTAGATCAAAAGGCTAGTCTCGTGATTTATAACTTCAAATTGTGAAAAATTGAAATTTCATAATAATTAATAAAAAAATTTATTAATTATTAAAAATAGGCTGCCTAGTGCCACGCTTCACTTTTGGTATTGTTTCGTCAAAAACTGCCACACCCAAATGGAATCTCAGCAAATTGAGGGGAGAAAGAAACCCAGAAAATTAGGTGGAATTGAACAGAATTACTACACTAAAAAATTTGGGATGAAAAATTCCAGAATTTTTACCTATTGCTGAATTTTTTTTTTTTGGATGTGTGTATTTTTTTGTTCCTAAGACATGTTAACATGAACACTAGCATTCTTGGTGGATTTACAGATAGGGCAAACGTTAAGACTCGACCCACACCCAGCACACAAGCACAAATGCCTGCATGGCAAAAGCAGCACGCACGATTCCTTCTTACTGCAATTCCTGCACATCCTGCTTCCACCTTCCTCTGTTCGATCCTCCTCCCAACTGTTGCCACAGCAAGATTCCGCGTCGTCGACAACCTCCTCCTCCACCCCCGCCCCACGACTGCACTCTCCCTTAACTGCCTGCGCGGCGAGGACTTGTTCTAGGTCGTTGCGGAGGGCGTTGGCGGTGGCCTCGTTGGTCTGGGCTAAATCTCTCCAAATTTGGTTCTCGATGCACAGGGATTTGACTCTTTCTTCTAATGCCCAATTGAGTTTCCTGATTTTCTCGACTTCTTCTTCCTTGGCTCTAATTTTCCTCATCACGCCTTCCTCTATCCCCTCCATTATCCTCTGAGCTTGCCTCTTCCTCTTTTCCTCAATCTCAATCCTCACTTTCTCCATCTATAAAAAAATTCACAAAAACCAATCAATACCCAAATTCAAGAAAGTAATCTTGAATCGAAATCTTAATTCTGGGATTAATGTTACTTACATGTTGGGAGATGAGGCGATCGATATCGAATTGTTGTTGATGGATCTGGAGGGAGATGTCATGGCCAAGAAAGGAGAATGGGGTGGAAGGTTTGGTGTTGGATTGGGAGAGCGGCGGAGAAGGGAAGGAGGGGAGGGGGTTGAGGGATTCTCGCGGCCGCTTTCTGGAGACCGGAATATTGTTGGTTAGAGTGCTTTCCGATTTGATAGCGGTGGTGTTGTTTGTTGGGATGGAATCAGTAACCATAGAACCGTACAACGGAAGCAGCGCCTCCGTCTCCGCAAACAATGGTGCAGCGCCGAATCCCATCTGGGTATTGTAGATGCTCGAATGTGCTTCAATGGGGTTCATCATCTCCCTGCAATATCATTCCCCCCATATATCCAGTTCAGATACAATAAAACTACGAAATCAAGGAATCCAAGAGAGGAACAGAAGGATTATTGAGACTGACCTGGTTAGTAAGAGTTGAGGGGTGAAGAGATTAAGATGCCTAGCTTCAACGGCCATGGAATTTTAATGGGGGTGTTGCTGTTGCTTTTGCTCTCGCTCTTCCGTTGTGCTTTCTTTGCTCTTGTTTGGAGGATGTGTAGGTTTTGTAGAGGTGAAAAGGAGAGAGAGAGAGAGAAACAAGAGAGAACAAAAGAGCATGCATTTGAGGTGGCAAGTTTGTGTGGTGGGGTTTATTTAGGGTTTGGTTTGTATTAGAGAAAGAAAAAAAAATTATAGTCAGAAAATTTAAAAATTAACTAAATATAAAATAATAACAATATATTCTACTATAAGAATTGTATAAAAAAATATAATTTAAGTTTTAAAATTATTAAAATATTTTTAATAAAAGTAATTTTTATAATTATTTATTAATAATATTTTCACAATTTTAATACTCAAACTACGTAAAAAGAAAAAAAAAATTCTCATAAATTTGATAGTATCATAACCTATAAGTAAGATTATAATTATTCTTTTTGTTTCAAAACAAAAAACTTTTTTTAATATAAAAGTTTTCTCAAAATAATAATAATAGTTGTTTTCATATATATTAAAAGAAATATTTTTTTTATTTTAATTTTATTATTATCTTTGAATTTTAATCATTTATTTTATTATAAAAAATATCTCTTTCTCTTTATTTTTATTTACAAAAGTAAAATAAATAGTAATAAAAATAAAAATTATCCTTATATTATAAAATAAAAATATATTTAATATTTTAAAATAAAAGAATTACAATCTATCAAACGTTGGAGAGAATCTAATCTTACATGTCACAGCCAACGACTGTAATTCTTGCGACTCTAGAAGGGTGTTTTGCGGAATTTCGGTATTATCATTTATGGTAACAGAAGATTTGCCTGGTGATGGATTTTAATAAACTGACAGAGACTGGAATCAGCCACGTGGACAACCTCCACGTCAGCTTGTCTTGTTTCTATGTAAACTATTCGGCTCCGTCGCTCCGATCAACGTGACAAAGGTGGGGCCCACGGTGCACGTGTGGGGTAGGGGGAAGTAATAAATGAGTACAGAACTGGTGGTGGCCCACGTGATTGTGCCAGCGTGGAGAAAGTGGGACCCAGGTACGATGTACCCGGCGGGTCTTTTGGATTGGATTTATCGTTGATTTTTTTTATTTATTTTTTTGGCCAAATTTTGATTTATGGTACTTTTTAAAATTAAAGTTTATTGAAAAATTAAAAAAAAAATACAAAGAGGTTACTGTTTCATATTAATTGAAAATATTATTATTATAATTTTTATAAGATAATATATTATTATATAGTTATTTTTTATTTAAAAATTTATTTATAATATTATATATATGGTTATATAATGATTTATGGTACTTTTTAAAATTAAAGTTTATT